CAAATTATCAAGTGCTCTATTTATTTTTTTTTTCCGTACAAAATTGTAAGATTTTTGACAAAATAAATGCGCGAAAATCTACCGAAAAATTACAAAAATTCGAGGAAGATATAAATGATAGGTTAAAAATAACGCTCTCTAATCATAACATTTGCTTTTTTTTCTTCTTTGCCATTTCTTGATCTTGTGTAAGAAGTTCAGTTTTAATCAATACTACGTATAGATTGCCATTACAGTAGCGGTGATTGATATTGCCCAAATCGGCAAATAGCAATTTGCTGATCGTGTATTTCGGGCTGTTGCTTGTAGTAAAACCCGGAAGCACATCATCTTCAGGATATATGTCTTGACACAAAAAATACTAATTTAAATGATAGTTTAGGGTCAAATAGAACTGTCATACCCCTGAAAACATTAAGCAACAATTTGGAAGTTATCAAAGTTAAGTAATGTTATATGCCGCTTAAATGTTATATGCCTAAAGATCCAAGTAGTACACATCTGATATATCTAAGCCTTCAAAATTTAGTTGTGCGATTGAAATTAAAATAAATTCAAATTCCTGTTTTTCTTTCCAGGAATTCATATTATGCTCGCATAAAATAAAGGAATATTATTGTGTTTATACATCGGCTAGTTCTGGAAATTCATTGACTCATTTTTCAAAAATGGCGCATTTCGTTTTCCTGTTAATGGAACCAGATGATCAAATTAGTTCATCTGTGTATCTATGTTCATTCATTAATTCCATTAAAGTTATGCCTAATCAATTTGATGATTACATCATTAATTGTATTCATTTCTATGCCATAATTTGATCGATGTAGTTTACTTAATTTCAAGTTATCGTTCATTTTGATTAAGAAAGTTGTTAAAAACATTTCAAAATAGATTTATTATCTAAGCAAAATATTTCGTATTCATTTTTATACTTATTGTTTGCATTTTTTTAGGAGCAATAAATTTGGATGCTTTTAAAGATTATGCTGAAATGTTTAGAAATTGAATTTTCATGTTTAATTTCTGAATAATCCGAATTGAATAATCCGAATTGAATTATCATTTTCCTGTACTTTCATGAAACTTTCGATGGTGGTTTCAGATACAATGCAGTTACTTTAATATGGTGTTGCCTATATATACGTTGATCATCTCGGTTATTTTTTGTCATCTTGTATGTATCAAAAATTAATAACATGGTGTTAAAATAAAGCATGGTACTATAGTCAGAGCATCTAAAATCGGCTCCCTATTTTTCGTAAATTTTTCTCAGACCCGAGAACGTGTGAACGTGTTTTCGAACGTGTGAAGATAGACGTGGTTAGGGTAACTACCACAAGATTGCATTTCGTATTGCAGCAATCGATTCCAAAGACTCCTTCTTTTTTGAAATTTTTAGTTCAAATAGGCCAATTCAATGATTTGCATTTATTACATAAAAAAAGAAACTATCGAACTTATTATTTATATATTCGATTATTAAACAAGAAATGCTGTTCAATAGTTTTCTTCGAAAGCATATAACAATAACTTAATCGTTCCTTGCTTTTTTAACGCATTACACAAACCATAAATTAATGATGCAATATCTATTTGCCAATACAACAACTTCAATGTACACATAACGTTTCATCATGGTTCTATCTTTGTTATCATAGGTTTTTTTTTCTTTTTTTCTAACTGAATTTTTACCATACCAGTTAATTTTATAAATACGAGTTTAAATAGATTTGCATATTTAGGCTTTACATATCACTAATCGACATGGCGTGAATAGCAATTTGAGACATTTAATCATTTCATGCTTTCTAATCTTTTAGTCCTGCTAGTCAAGTTGATAAAAGTTAATCCCATATCCTTATTCCTATTTAGGATACGAAACTGCACTTTTCCTGTTAAAACATATATAGGTGAATAAATTTTAATAAATTAAATACATCTTAATAGGTTAAATACATTTAATAAGTTTCTTTCCAATTTTTAAGTAAGAATAATCGAACTGAATGCTGTTTAAATATAACTAAGAAATCGAATTTCGCTCGTCTTTGCTAGACTAAAACTTTCAGATCAAGTCGCAAATTAGACCAAGTCTTATTCAAATTAAATTTAGTTGAAAGAGACAAATCCCCGTCATAACGGCGCTGAGAATTAAATGTGCGAATTGTTTTCCGGTGCGAATTATGCAAGTAGTCGCATCAAATTATTTCAAACCGCCGCGCGAATTTTGAATTCTGTAAGTAAGTTTCGACTTTTCCCTCTCCCTCTTCTCTTTATCCCTCCTGGTCTGCTCTCCCGCCCTCCGGTTGTTCCCGACAGATGAGATTTTTGGAAACATTATGGTTTTGCATACAATGCTAGGAGATACAGTTTAGTTGGCGGAGAGGGTGCCATAATTGTAATATTTGTCGCTATGGGAAAGATATGGATGCACCACAGTTCAAGGAAGCATAAGAATTGAGAACGATGTCTTACTTTGTAGAAATAGAAACAACTAAGAAGTATGACGTATTGAGAAGATATAATAGATCGAAGTGTTTTTATGTGTGCTTCCTGATCGATTTTCAGCTGAAAGCAGTAAATCGAATTCGCTTATTTTCTTACTCTTGTCATATTAACGTCACATCTAATAGAATTCATCAGGTCTTTGTATTTTAGCAGTTATTTTTTGTGTGGCTATGCGGAGACGAATTCAGGAAAATCGATTGACGTTATATTTATAATAGCTACTGGTGAATGTATACTATACGTCTGGTATAGGATGGCATCGCCGATAGGTAAGCGTGCAGCACGATCAATACCATCATTGACAAAAGCAAAACGAAACAGGTTATTTGAATTTCACCCAGTTAAAAATAACAAATGTGTTTCCTGTTGAAATTTTCCGTAGGATAAAAAAGGTAAATCCATGGTGACGCGTATTTGGTGATAATGTGGCATACAATAATAATGTAACTACATGTGAAAGTCCGAGGCAAAATTCCCAATGTTTGATTTAATTCATTCCATGATTGATTCTCGGTTAGTTTCGATCTGCTCTCTTACAGTCCGAAAAGCGGAAAAGATATTTCTAAATTGATATATAAAAATATTTTCTCGCCTGCATGAAGCCTTCTGGAATAGCTCCACCGTATTTCACATTTTCCATTCTTTGTGGTAGTGTCATACATAAGAGTAGTCAGAAATAAGTAATTGTAAATGAAATGGTTTTTCCTTTTCTTTTTTTTTCCAAATGTGAGAGATGTTGTTGAAAGCTTGGGTTTATATTGGACATTCTTCGCAAAGATTGGGAAGTATAGAGGATTGGGCTGATTTTAGAAAAAAGTTTTTTCCCCAAGCGACTGATATCCTAATTTTATTTGATGATTAGTTACAACTATCTGAGGAAGCGTATTGTTAAATTGTCTATATCATTTTTTTATTACTTGGCTATCAATAACTCTATTATTTTTATAACCATTGTTTTGTTACTTATGTTTTAAATTGATTCAATTCCAGGCCTGTTACGGATGAGCCATCAGTTTTCGTAACACAACTGGCTTCACTAGCACCATCAGATGATGCTTCAGGCAAAACTGCAATTAACCAGTTTGAAACGAGTCAGTTTTCTTTTAATCCAAATATCCTGAGCTTTTGGATATGACCAAGAAATGATTGGTGGCAGAGCGCCAAATGCAGTAATAAAACACTGTGTGCAATCTCTAAAATATTTTATGGGAGTAGCACCATCAGTGTATCTTTATATTAATCGTTACCTTAGCTCGCTTTTCAAAGCATTATTTAAACTTTTGCACTGAATTTTATTCACAGATGAAGTGCGACTATTCATTTGGATGCTTATCCTTGTATTATTTACAATTCAGATCGTATTTGGGCTCGTCCACCAATCCCTGATGAATTACATACAAAACCGGAAATCGATTTTCAAGTTGTTGACGTCGATTATTATATGAGTAAGTGAAAATTTTTAAGGACAAGACTGAAATTCTGATGTCAAATTAATGTTGAAGCAACGAATATCAAATCTCTCCCTCTGAAAATGCTACTCCGAAATTGAAACAGCCCACTGTTGCTATAATTTAAATTTTTGACGTCAGAACTTCATATAATTTAACGTTAAATTTCCAGTAATAACGTAAAATTATAACTTGAAACACATGTAGAATTACCACCACTTTGAGAATCACCTGTTGACACCGTAACATTATAGTGTGATTGCTTGCTTCATTTTCATTTCAGATAGTGAAAATAACGTTACCATTCGTTTATTCGGAGCTACTACTAATCAGAATTCAGTTTGCGTACAAGTTCATGGATTTCTACCTTATTTCTATGTATTGCTGGAAATTCCGTTCGATGAAACGCATATAGAATATGCGAAGAAATACCTAAATGATGTTATTAAGGTTAATTTATTTAAATTTGAGGGACTTTTATTTTTTCTAGAGTTCCAGTGGTTTTGTTTAAGCTACCCTATGATTTGTGCATTATTTTGAATTACTTCAAAAGACGATATTTCTGAGTTATGGTTTTAAAATTGATTGGTCAAAATTGGTCACTTCAGGCTCAGGTTCCCGCTAATATTGGTATCCCGAAAAATGTTGATAATTTAGTCGTTGATCTCGATATTGTTTATGGTGCCAGTATTTACGAGTATAAAAAGGATCTGAATCAGAAGTTCCTGAAAGTATATGTTTGTTCGCCGAAACTTCTTAATCTCTGTAAGCCACGGAATTTTATAGCAAAATTTACTATAGTCAAATTTTGCATCTTTTGATAACTCTCACGTTTTTGAATTTTTTGTTGCAACTTCTTTCATTATTTTTGATTATGATATAATGGCTTTGAATCTGCCTTTTTTAGGCCGACGAGTGTTTACCAATGGAGTGAGCTTGACCAAAGGAGGGCGGACTGAGTCATTATCATGTTTTGAAACGAATATCGACTTCGAAATTAGATTTATGACGGATCATAATTTGGTTGGTTGCGCCTGGGTTACGTTGCCATCAAAAAAGTACCGAATTGTTACAGGGAAGGAAATGATTAGTCATTGTCAATTTGAGGTTTAGTTTATTTCTGTTTAGTTTTTCTAAAAGAAAAAAGTCAAAATATCTATTAAAATATCTATTAATGATTGTGTAAGTTTGGGAATTTCATGGGAATTATTGCAATTTAATACATATTTCTAATTAATTGTTGTGAACCATTGCCCAATGAACTTTTACAGAATATTATATTAAAATCATTTATTGCATTATTATACAGAATATTCCACACATTAGTGCCTTTATTGCATTATTATGCCATATTTCCATAATACCTAACAATTAAGAGCCACTGGTTTAATCTTGCAGTGTCAAGATTACTAAAGTATTCTTGCAATTTCTATGAAAGATAAAGTTCCAGAATAAACGAATCATAGTCTTAAAAAAATATTTGCAGTGTTCGATAAACAATACAGACCTCGTTATTCACTCGCCTGAATCATCGCCAAGATGGTCTTCAATAGCACCATTGCGTATTCTGTCGTTTGATATCGAATGCACGAATCGACAAGGTTAGGAAATTTATCTCTTCATTTCCGAAAATTCCATGTTGTCTTCTTCAGTTCATAAGAACCATATCTCATCGTAACATGAATGAAATTGCGTCTACTATTTAAATGATCGTCTTAGAAATTTCATATGATACTGGAAATGGTCAATTTTGAATGCGTTTCATGATTAAATTAAATTCTGTATGGATAAATCTCACTGCATTGGTTGGAGAATGTATATCTGTTGGCTCCCAGTTTTCCGAAATTTTGGTCTGATATATTCGTTTATTTCCCTAAATATGTGATTATCACTGTTTTCAGGAATATTTCCGGAAGCTCACACGGATGCTGTTATACAAATAGCTAATATGGTCAAAATTGAAGGCGAGAATGAGCCATTTATTCGGAATTGTTTTGTAATTGGTGAAACTGCTCCGGTCATTGGCAGTCAAATTATTGTTTCTAAATCAGAAGAAGAATTGCTCAATGTGAGAGGAATTCTAAAATTTTCGGTTCTAATAACGAAATGAGCTTTAATTCATTCCCTTACTTCCTACGTTTGTTCGGTATCGATTGGTAAATTATTTCCAGAAATGGGCAGAATTTGTTCGTATTGTTGATCCAGATCTCATTACCGGTTACAACATCCAAAATTTTGATTTCCCATATATTGTTGAACGTGCTCGAGCATTAAAGGTTTGTTCTCTTCTCTTTACTTTAAAGAAAATTTCCATTGAGAAAACAATTGGCTCTAATTTTACTGATTTAGATTGAAAGTCGAGCAACGATGCTAGGACGTATTCCAAGTTCACTTTCAAAGGTTCGAGAAATGCCTTTATCTAGTAAACAGATGGGTAATAGAACGAATAAAGTAACAAATATCGAAGGACGGGTTGTTTTTGATGTCTTTCAAGTAAGTTGGTTTATATTTGGCATAATAACTTCATAAACAATGTTACAACTAAGGTATACATGTATGTTAGTATTGCATAGGCAGGGAGATAATGGATTAAAAATCTTTTATTCTCTTTTTCTATAAACAGTTGTCAATTATTCTCTAATCAAAAGAAATATGTGCACTGCACGGTTATTGTAAATTTTCAGTTAGATAAATTTGCGATGTTCAAAAAGTTTAAAGTTCATACCGAATATAAACATTGAAAAATTATAAGAGTATGAACCTGAATGGTGGGAGCAGAGAAAGTTAATAGGGTTTAATAGAATAAGTTGACGGCGGTGCAACAATAGAATCTTTGAAAACCAATAATAAGATACATGCATAAATTTCATTAGTAAATAAAGGCAATGATGATTAAGTCGTGAATTAAAAACCAATACGCAGTCTATAATTTTACTGGATACGAATATAATTAGGATTCTTCTTAAGTGGATTTGTATTCTCAAAACACGTGATTCTCAAATTTGTAATTTGCATTTATTCAGTCTAATTATCCGATTAGAACAGTGGTTTGGATTGATTGGTTTGGAGTGTGGAAAGTAAAACACACAGATTACTTTAGCAGTTAATCTGTACAATATTTTACACTTCTTTATATGAAAAGATGGTGAAGGTTTTTTCTGTTCTCACAGTCGTACACGGGTTTTTCATTCGAATTCCTATAGATTTGCAGAGCCTTTTAAAATCTATTATCCGTTATTAACGTTTTCTTCACTCGTTTTGCCTGAACTTTGAGTATGTCCAGCTGTTGGTAACTTTTATAATAAGTGGTTCAAGTTGTTAGGATGAGGCTTAAAATCCACTTTATTTTGGTAGTTCCATTTTTGTCCCTGAAATATATTACTTTACTAAGGAGGAGGAGCGGTGGTGGCCTGCCGTGGGTGGCCGGATTAGCTCAGTGGTTAGAGCGTCTGTCTTGTAAACAGAAGGTCGCAGGTTCGATCCCCGCATTCGGCATGCTGTGTATTTCTAACATAGACCTGATTGAAACTGGATTTAGGTCGTTTTGCGAGATTATAAATTACGGAGTTATTCGCTGAACAGTGTAAGCTACCATTTTTTATGTGAACAAAAGGAAGATGTGGATTATGCAATGATTGCAGACTTGCAGGTGCGTCAATTTATGATCTCGATACGTTGAGGGATAACTTAATTCATGTCAACTTCTAGAATTTTCGAAATAGTATGAAAAGATATGTAGCTTACTTCAGTTATAATAAGTTAATGTTACCCACTATCATATATTACTTGTGGAAGAAGATGGAAAGACGTGGTTACAACTCGTTTTGTGTCTACAAATGTGTAATTATTGATATTTAACTTTTTTGGAAGAATTTTCAGAATGGAAATGCTCTTACGCGTCGTCGACTAGCTATTTACTGTATGAAAGATGCCTATTTGCCGCTGAAGTTACTTCAAAAATTGATGTCCGTCATTAATTATATTGAGATGGCACGTGTTACTGGTGTTCCTCTCGACTATCTGCTTTCTAGAGGTCAACAGGTCAAAGTTATGTCACAGATCCTACGAAAAGTATGGGTTTTAATAAAATATACCGGAAAATGTACAGTATTTTTCGAATTGTTGTTCGGGATATATTGGAACTTATAGAGAAATGGAATTTTCTATAAATTCTAGGCAAAGTCGATGCATTTCTTTCTACCAGTCATTGATGTCGTACAACCTGATGATACCTACGAGGGTGCAACAGTAATCGATCCTATTCGAGGTTTCTACAATACTCCAATTGCAACGCTTGATTTTGCATCTCTGTATCCGTCCATTATGATTGCCCACAATTTATGCTATACCACATTGATTCGACGTCCAATTGCATCATATAAGTAAGTTGTTTGAAAGCAATGAGAGGTTAGTAGATCAAAAAATATATGATATTAGCAACCTGTTTGCATTTATGTATAAGGAATGTAGTTTTTCAAATTTTTAGTTTGTCTGACTCCGATTTTGAAGTTACTCCGTCAAATAATCGTTTCGTGAAGCCAAACATTCGTCATGGCTTGTTACCACAGGTTCTAGAGGATTTACTGAATGCCAGAAAACAAGCAAAGAATGATCTGAAGAATGAACAGGATCCATTTCGGTAAAGGAAAAATTCATTTTTATTTTAAATTGATATTATTTGTTAAATGAGTACTGGTTAATCGGGTGCTTACACTTCGCATGATTAGTTAATACAGGGGACAAATTCTTCGGAAAATTTTTGCATTGAGCAATATTCAACGAGAAAATAATAAGGACTTGGAGGGGCTTTGAGAAAGACATCTATGGATAAATGATGGGAAGTAGCTGGAATTTGACACAGTTACATTACTTGATAATACAGGCTTAAAATGGATGCTGTTATTGATTATTTTTCATTTGCGAATACACGAGCATCTTATTGAAAATCTGACATGTCTTGCCTACTCGTCACGATCACGACTTGGTATTTAAAATATACTATTAAATCTAAAAATAATGTGGGAAAAAACTTGTTCTTTGCAACTTTTTTTAGACGTATGGTATTAAATGGTCGACAACTTGCGCTGAAAATATCGGCAAACTCGGTTTACGGTTTTACGGGCGCTTCGGTTGGGAAGTTACCATGTTTAGAAATCTCCCAATCAGTAACAGCTTATGGTCGTCAAATGATTGATTTAACGAAAAATGCAGTTGAGGAGATTTACAAAGAGGGTTATCTGGATGGCAAATGTCCGTGCGATGCGCAGGTAAATATTTTGAGCAAAAATTATGAGTAAGATTCTGGTATGAATTGGGTCAATTACTCTTACTAGCTAGCTGGCTGATCATTGAGAATTGTGTGCATTGAGAAAATTATATTTTAACATTTGGATTGAGAGAAATTATGCTCTAATTCGAAGTTTAAAACAAGGCTCAATTAAAAGTCAGTTTTTGATGGTACAATTGAGGAGGATAGAAATGATAACACAAATTCGCTGGCTTTTTCTGTTTCTAGCACATTTTAGGTTATTTACGGTGATACTGATTCAGTGATGGTAAAATTTGGTGTTAAAGATGTCAAGGCAGCGATGGAACTTGGTTTGCATGCTGCTACGGAAGTTAGCAAGAAGTTCATACCTCCAATTAAATTGGAATTTGAAAAGGTGTGTTGATTCTGTTTGCGTTTTCGGTCGCTGATTAAGAATGGTGAGCTTTTAAATTTCAAATGTATAAATTTCAAATCTCGCTGTGGTTTACTTACAAGGTAATGAAGGTAAGTTTTCCTGTATTTTGCTGATTTCTTTTTTAAACCCGCAAAAGCTAATACATTAAGCGATAGGGAAGCTGCCAGTTAAATAAAAGTCCGTATAATGTAATAAAATCAACTTTATAAAACTTATACATTACAGGTTTATTCACCGTTTTTGCTGATAAACAAGAAACGTTATGCTGGTTTATATTTTACGCGCCCTGAAAAGCATGACAAAATTGACTGTAAAGGATTAGAAACAGTTCGGCGTGATAATTGTCCGCTTGTCTCAAAAGTTTTGAGTACATGTTTAGAGAAAATGTTGTTGGAAGGTGATGCTACAAGTGCTCTGGAACATGCTAAAAAGGTGATCAGTTTTTTCACGTTCTATGTGTGCCGGATTGACCTTCCTGATTTTTTCACGATTTACGTTTTAAATTTTCATTGAGAGTTTTTAAACAGGTAATATCGGATCTTCTTTGCAATCGGATTGATATCTCAGAACTCATAATCACCAAAGAACTAACTCGGTCAAGTAATGTGAGTTTTATGGAAATTATTTCCTTTTTTTACTGGCTTGCAAAATTTATTTGTTCCCATTCAGTATTGTCTATACAACTTTTACTGTAAAACTTTCATTTTGTTTTCATTTCAGGCTTATGCTGCAAAACAAGCCCATGTGGTTTTAGCAGAAAGAATGCGGGAGCGCGATTCCGGGTCAGCACCGCGTTTGGGTGACCGCGTACCATATGTTATTGTTGCCAAGGGCCAGAAAGTGTGGTTACTATATTATATTTTTGTATGGTTACTATATTAATTACTATATGGCTATTTCCAGTCAAAATACCTGAAGTTTGATAGAACTGAAGGGTGTTGATCAAATCAACAAGATAATGTTTCATCATATTTTAGGTCCCAGCTTATGAAAAGGCCGAAGATCCTATATATGTATTACAAAACAATATCCCCATTGATACAGCCTATTATTTGGAAAATCAATTGGCCAAACCGTTGGCTCGTATTTTCGAACCCGTTCTGGGCGATAAAGCTGAATCAGTTTTAACAAGTAATGCTTTGAAGTTAGGAAATTTCATTGATTGAACAAAGAATATATGAAAATTTCTCATCACTGTTGCTCCTGATTTTAAGCTGGTGTACATACGCTGGTTAGGACAGTGGTGCAGTCGAAGAATTCGGGATTGTCGCAGTTTTTCCAGAAAACTGAGCGGTGCCTTTCATGCAAGAGTAGCTTACCAAATGGTGTAACTGATGCCACATGCACGCATTGCAAACCAAATGAAGGGAAGGTTTATATTACCCACGTAAGTTACAATTCTTCTCATGTGATTCTTGATTCGCATGTTTCTTGGTTCTCATGTTTCTCATGTTTTTCTCATGTATCATCTTCTCATTCGCATAATTTGGCCTTTTACGCATAATCTATGATTCATCGAATGTTACCAATCATTAAACAATATGCATACGTAATGATTCAATCCTTCTTTCTTTGATAAATATCATTTGTTCAAGTCAGTTTCTGTCGAACAGGTGCTTTGTAAAAAATATTTCTTTTTTAATGCTAATATTGTGTACTACAGTAATATGTGGATGTGTTTTATATACATAATGATAATACTTAGAATTTCATTTTCTCGAATTTTTTAAAATGGACTTTCGTTTCTTCAAAAACATGCTAAAAATTGGTGATTTTGACCAGAGTTATTCTGACCTACGGGCCGTCTTCATAAATTCTTGTTTACTGTTTCAGTTAGCTCTAATGAATGCTATAGAAAACCGCTTTGCACGGTTATGGACTGAATGTCAGAATTGTTCTGGGACAATGAACGAGGAAGTGCTTTGCTCTTCGTAAGTTTTCATTACTCGAAAAAAAAAACTTTCCATGAAAAGTTCTTGAAATTTCGGAAATAAGAAAAATTGTGGTTTTTTTGAGCAGGTTATATTTCTTATTTTTTATCATATCTGATAATTAAATGGAATTACCAAGAGAATACTTCTGTAGTTTGTTTTTCTGGCCGTAAAAAAATAGTTAGAAATAGATTAGTCCAAGTTTTTGGAAGTTAGCGGTTTTTTCCTAATTCGTAATTTAAGCTGATTTTTTATTGACCTTTTGGTAACACATGTTTTCTTTTTGCAGGAGAGATTGTCCAATCTTTTACATGCGAGAAAAAGTACGGTATGATCTTGCGGAACAAATGAAATCTCTTCAGCGATTTTACCTTTCAACGTGGTGATGAATTTATGTTGATAAAGTGTTTAACTTCCTGATTTATTTGTGTTAAATAATTACATCCGCCACCAAAAGCGACAAAGAAAGTACAGTGATGTAACTGGGAAAGTAAAACAATTTTCTGTATATGTGCAACAGCAGAAATGACCAGAAAATAAGGGGATGACGAAGTTTTTGGAAGAAAAAAAGTTTTAAGTCTTAAAAAAATCGATAAACACGCCGATACAACAATCCATATTTTATGTATGCCTAAACGAAAGATTTACGACAAACAGAAACAAGTGTGTTGCTTGCATTAATTGATATATCCTAACGAACAAGACTTCAAAGAAAGAAGTCGTGTGGAATTCGATAAATTTCCTTACTATTATTGGAATTTCATCCTTGTTTGTTTAAATTTCTTACTAAGCTATCTATAAACAGTAAAACAAATAGCGAATGATTCGAAAGAGTGATCAATCCATCAAAAAGAGTTCGAAAAAATGGAAGAAAATTTAGCTGCAATTGAGATACACGTATTACAATGGAGAGAAGTTGGTGGTGAAATAATGAGTTTTTCGAATGATTAGTTGAAGCTTTAGTTTAACACAAACTCGAATAATCCTAACAACATTTCATCGATTATCTGTCGGTCTAATCGTTAATGCTAAATCAATTGTTGCACACATCACAACTTACCACAACTGATATGTTGTTTAGCTTAAGACATTTCAAAATCTCTTTCTAAGATATTTCGAAATCTCTTTCTTCTATATTTTATAACTTTTGTTTCAATAAAAAAAATGATCCAAATTCTTAAATTTTTTACAATCCTAAATTTTTTCTAACAAAAAAAAAGTAAAATTTGCCTAAACTATTTCAATATTATATCAAATTTTTTATAACTTTATCTCTTATAGTATGTTTCTCATAGATAAATGATACGATATTTTTGGTAGAGTTATTTATAATCATTTTATTATAATATACCTTCATATATGACAGTTCATTGATATCAGCATTAAATTCTGGATTTTCTTCTAATTATAAATAAATTCATCGTTTGAATAAATGACAATATTTGTAATCTCAGTTGTAATATATGACAAAACTTCATTTTTATCATCTTATCATCCATATTTTTCATATCAAAATATCTCCTTTTTTCTTATACTTTATATATTTTTGATGTAATCATATTGCTTCATTTTTTTACTTGATATATTTTGGTTTTGATCACGTTGCCTTAAATTTTTTTGCTTTGATCACGATGCCTTAAATTTTTTGCTTTGATCACGTTGCTTAAATTATTCGAATAGTTTGAATAATACTATTTGACTATAGTATTAATCAATTACTGTTACATTTTTGATCTTTATCACGTTGATATTAATACACTTTCTAATGATTAATGTAATAGATTATCAAGGATGAATAGCAAATGTGACATATTATCTGGAACAATACCAGAATTTGTTTATAAATGTGCTGGAAATGATCGAGTTGCAGCTGTATTTGATCATGAAAAAATCACTTTTACATTTGCAGATGTAAAAAAGAAGTAAAATTTCATTTTTTTTAAAAATAAGTTTGCAAAAAATAAACCTTTTCTTCTTCAATTTTTTCTGTTATTTTAATTTTCGAAATTTCTTATAATTTGCTAAAGTTGAAAAATTGTATTTTAAATAAAAAGTGTTTTACAGATGGATACATTAGCAGCAGGCCTATTATCAGTAGGCCTTAGGCCACAAGATCGTATTCTTATTTGTGGCTCCAATACAGCCCATTTCTTTATTTGTCCATTAGCATGCACAAGAGCTGATTTAATCTTTTCCTTGATGAGTCCAAATTTTGCGAATGCTGAACAACTTAAATATGCTCTTGCTAAGGTATATTTTTATTTTAATTCTAAAATTTAATTTTGAATTTTCAAAAATTTCATTGTTGAATTTTAAAGCACAATTCATTTTCTTTGTTTGCATTTACTTCTTGTAAATTAATTAAATTTATGATAGAAAATGATAAACGCATTAGTCAATTATTGTAACCAAATTTACACTTTTTAGTAAGAAAGAAATTCAAAAAAGTTTTTTTTGAATATAAAATACTAAAAATAACTTTTTAATTTAATGATTGTAAAATTGTTTTATTTTAATTTTTTATTTTACAGGGTGAATTTCGTGCTATAATTTGCTTTCCAGCTAAACGTGAAGCTGAATTTTTGAGTAATTTATTAAATGAAATATTACCAGAATTAATGTATTCAATTAAAGGCCGATTATGTTGTAAAGCTTTGCCAAAATTAACTCATATTATTACGGCTGAAGAAGAGCATAAACATGCGTATGTTTTAATAATTCTTTCTTTAAATCTAATTTTTTATTTTTGAATAAAATTAAAAAGAATGATTTTTGTTTTTTTTAAATTCAAAATTTTTTATCGATTTAAAATATTTTTGAAATAATTATGCGGGATATATATATATATATATATATATATATATATATATATATATATATATA